TCATACGGCTTACCAGGCTAGGAACAAGTTGAAGAGAAGAGGAGCGTGTCGAGGTAGCCTGTGTACAGACATCCCCCCTCCCTCAGAGGGAGGGGGGACGTCTGTACACAGGCTAGTGTCGAGGAGAATGAATGAATGAGAATGAATGCCGTAGCTGTTCACCGTCTATAATAATTCAAATTGAATAGAGTAACGTAGGCCTAGGTGCCTCGTGAGATACCAACTGAAAACCCACGATTATTCTATAAAAGCATATTCACCATTTTTCGTCTGTAAATTCTCTTTCAGGTAGCAGGAGAGAGAACAGTCGTGGGAGGTATGGAGATATAAACTGATTGACGTTATAGTAAGACACAAATCAAATTGAGGAATACTTTTACTTTTCAGAACTTATTGTAAAATTTCTTTGAAGAAAGTGGAAGTTTCACAGGCTAAAGAAACTTATTATTTCAAAAACAAAAATGTAAAAAGTAAATTGACTAGGGCTAGAAAGCACACGAATGTCAACGCGTAAGGACCATGATTCAAAACCTTAAAAGCATGCAATTATCAGATATACACCTTATTAAACTAACACTGTCATGTATAGAGATATTGGTGTCCCGAAACAATGAAACGACGGCCATGTTGGTGTCCCAAACCAGTCCTGTGGGAGTTGAACTCCTTTCTTATGCAAACGCTTTCTTTTGTACCAATACATTTGCATAGATGCTGGCCCATTGAGTGAAAACACTCTATACAAAAAAAGCAAAAACAAAAAACAACAAAAAACCAAATAGAAATTATTAAGTCATGCAAATCAAGTTTTGATAGTTTGAAAATCCTGAAAACCATTTTATCAATAAAGTACAATATTTTGATCTGACATCAATTAAGTTGAGGAAGGTGAATTATCACCTAAAAATGTTTTCTGCTTCATTTTTACTTAAGACAGATCTCCAAAGGTAGTGAGCTTACACACGGTCAATTTATTCAGCCCTATTTACATAGCTTTAATTTTCTCAATTTTAACATTTTCCTTGCAATAGGCCTTTCCACTGTTTTTTTTTTTTTTTTTTTTTTTCAATTTTTTACATGGGCAAGGGAGGGAAAATCCGGCGACTTTGCGAAAGGGTTTTTTTGCAACCTAAGGAAAATACGTTTACCCTCCCTGAGAAATTGGTTTGTATGGTGGGGGCAAAAACTTGAACCCCCTGCCTAACCATAAAAACCTCTTTAAATTTTTTAAACTTTAGTTGCCGAGCTATATTTTT